GAAGTCTTCTGGAATACCTACTGATTTCAGTAAAAAAGCAGCACCAGCCCCTGCAGAGATTCAGAAGTCTCTTATTTTCTCAGAATAACCTATTTTAATTTGATATTTTTCAGATGTGTCATTAAGTAAATATGGAAGATATGCAATTAAATATGCAAATGAAATGGTTTGTAATTACTGTGTTTAAAGCGAGGCATGTCACATTCTCTTGCTGATTGGACCTTTTTAGTTTCTGAATTTGGCAACACCCTGTCCTACATCTGCTACTGCATTTCTTCTCACATCATTCTTCCCTGCATGGTAAGGATTAACACCCCTTGGCATTCAGTTCCCCAATTCCTTTATCCATCATTACCAAGTCCTCACCTGGAGTATTGTGTGCAGTTCTGGTGTCCTCAACATGAAAAGGACATGGAACTGCTGGAACAAGTCCAGAGAAGGGCCATGAGGATGATCAGGGGACTGGAGCACCTTCCGTATGAAGACAGGCTGAGAAAGTTGGGGCTGTTCAGCCTGGAGAAGAGAAGGCTGCGTGGAGACCTCAGAGCAGCCTTCCAGTATCTGAAGGGGGCCTATAGGGATGCTGGGGAGGGACTCTTCATTAGGGACTGTAGTGACAGGACAAGGGGTAACGGAGTCAAACTTAAACAGGAGAAGTTTAGATTGGATATAAGGAGGAAATTCTTTCCTGTTAGGGTGGTGAGGCACTGGAATGGGTTGCCAAGGGAGGTTGTGAATGCTCCATCCCTGGCAGTGTTCAAGGCCAGGTTAGACGAGGCCTTGGGTGATATGGTTTAGTGTGAGGTGTCCCTGCCCATGGCAAGGGGGTTGGAACTTGATGATGTTAAGGTCCTTTCCAACCCTAACTGTTTTATGAGTCTATGATTCTACGAAGGGGACTGAAAAACCTTTGCCCTCAGTCCAGATGTTTTGATTTTCTGTACCCACTTCCACATGAAATCTCTTAGTCTGCCCCATGCCAAAGCAGTTGAAAGTCAATGAAGACTTTTATTCCCTCATATGAAATTATGTTTATAAAGTGTAATAAACATTATCAGTTAGAAAAAAAAAAGTGCAACTTAAATGCCGAGGAAACAGAGAAATTAAAACTGTGGTAGAACATGATTTACTAGGGAAGCAACAGTCCACAACCAGAGAATGTAAGGGGCCCTAATTACAAGCTCTTTATTTTCGCGGTATAGTCTTCTGGTGTTTCAGATCATCTCAGTGTGCTAGTATAGCTCAATATACTTTGCTTCTTTCTAAATGATGTTATGTTACACAGCTTCTCTTGTATTGCAGCATGTCATTATACTTTTGCCTACTTCCTGTGTAAGCAGAACATGTCCTGTCTTCTGCTAATACATGGATTTTGAATGGAGCTTCTACAAAGCACTGCCTTCAGGTTTCCCTTATGTATGTTACCATCTCTCCGGCTGCAAAAAGGAAAGCAGCAAAACTAAGGAATTGAAGGGGATTTGCTGCAGGGAGAAGGGTAACTGTATTATTCCATTTTCTGCAACAACATGGCAACAGGCTGTGTTTTTATAAAACCAAGTGAAGAGCTGACAAATGAGCAGATCACCACACTGTCATACTTCTGACCTAAAATACACACACATGAAATGCAGGGGGCAGGTGGTCCCACTTTGAACACGAACCACTCACATTCTGTTGTATCTCCAGATGCTGTGCGGTACAGCAGCACCAGGAGCCCAGGGCTATGCGGCGGCAGCAGCTGTACAGTCATCCCAGGAAGATGGGGGCTTTGAAGATATATAAAGAGACAGAAATTCTAGCCCCATTAGGTCAATGGCAGTTTTACCACTGCCTTTATTTCGGCTAGGATGGCATCTTGTGTACCTGACTCATGTCCTACCAAAACTCTGGACTGAGTATCAGGACATCTGCCCTGCCTACCCCTGCCCTTCTGTTTCCTTGCCAGTTCCTGCTTGGGGAAGGTTTGAACTGGGAGATGAAGGGGCCATGCTCCCCATCCTTTTAGCACTGTTCAAACTATTGTGTTGCATTTCATACAACACATCTGGATCCCACTCTGCGTAGTGTACAAAGGCAGCATGAGAATACAGTTGAATGTTTGTGCTTCAAAATCACATGATTTTTGGATTATTTTGTTCTCCCATGCAGTTTAATGCCAGGGGGAAATGTATGGCCTGACGTGATTTTTCCCCCACTTTACAATTCACATATTCTTTACCATATGTGAGCCATTATTTCATACTGCGGCATCTATAATCCCTCCCATGTCTATTTTTCCCTGCCACAGGATGGGCAATATACATTTGTCTTTCTTGCTCCTAAGGCACTGTCACTCTGATAATCTTCTCAGACATTTGCTGTAGTTTTCCAAGCATTTTCCTAAAATATTTTTATATGCTTTTTTTTTAAATTGTTTTGGTGAGAAATCGTAATGATCTCTTTAGTTTTAACTTTGATTTTGCAAGCACTCAAAGTTTTCTTCCTAGGCAAGTCACAGACCACTTGATCAGTTATCAAAGAAGCTTGCATGATCCCGTAATCACAGAATTCAAGCTTTTGATCTCCGGTGTATAGTACATGCGTCTAAGGCTTTGTGGGTAGCCACGTTCAGCAACAAGTCATACACCTCTCATACATTTCATTCCTTTTCAGTAAGCAGTGTTTATCAAATCTGCCCCATTATCTCCTTCTACGTGGTAAAGCCTCTGAAGCTGATGTTGCAGGTAAGTAACTGTGATAAAAGAGGTTGCTTCATTTGGTGCAATGCAAGAATAATTCTGTAAAGGATGATTGCTGGTGTCAGCTGATTATTCATGTTCTCTGTCATTTAAGGTAGGAACTTAGTTGCATCCACGCTTCTTCCCTTCTCCTTCTCCTTCTTCCCTTTTACGTTTTACTTTGCTGATATCTTCTAGCTTTCTCTCTTAAACCCCACTAAATTCAGTGTTGTTTAGCATAAGACAATGTCCTCTAGAGTGGAATACTTCTTCATAATATCTAAGAAGATTTGTCCCAGATACAAGTAACTGAGACTTTCAAAAAAGAGCTAAAAGAAGAGTTAGTTTATGCAGAAATGGGATAGTGAACAATACTAGCAATCTCAGAGGGTACTGAATCTAACACAGACTGTATTATTACAGTTTGCATCTTGTGACTGATTTTCTACCTGAGAAGGTATAATCTGCAACTGAAGCTCCACATCCATTTGGGGACATCTAGGGGGAAGTAATCTATTGTATGTAATAATGTGTGAGGACAGACTGCACTTCTGTCACAGACAGGACATTTAGAGAATGTCTTTTTTTCCCGCTTTGCTTCTAACTACTTGTGAAGAGATATTGAATACACTTTGAGACCTATACTTATGTGTCAGAATTAGTAGAAAACAACTGATCAGTTCACAGACATTGTGAATATTGTACAGATGCCATTCTCATAAGAAGCCAAACTAAAAATGAAACAATGTCCTCAAGAAAAATTAGCAGTGTGGCCTTGTGTACTGCACTTTCCAACATAGCTCTGAAAAGAGTGTTGCAGAGGTAACAAACAGCCAGAGAAAGAGAAGAAGAATGACAAGGAATATGGAAGATATAAAGAGAAAGTAAGGATGTGCATGGTAGGGAAGGGACAAGCAGCTGGAATCATAATAATATTTAGAGCACTAAGTAGTGGAGAGCCAAAGGATAAGGGTTTCCTAAGTCTGCAAAATAAGGGAATGCACATGGAAAATGACATTAAGCAATTCAAAACTGGGAGATTTCCTCTTCGCCCCTAGAGTGGCCAATTAGACTGGAATTCACTGTGTCTGGGAATAGGCATTGCCTGACTCAGCCTGACAGCCCCCAGTGCTGCTCCAAGATGAGACCCTGTGGCAGCCCGGGTCTGTACTGCAGGCTGGCATCCTCTCACTCCTCCTCATCCTGCCTGGTTACGCCCTGACCTAGAGCATCTCCTCAGCAAGCTTTGTTCCCAGGAAAGCGGGGCAAACAACTGCCCTTTGTATCACCCCAGAAATCCACCCTGGTAAGCAGAATGACACAATGGAACAGGATTTCTGCTGCTTCTGCAGAAGAACCGATGTGGAACACTAGGTCCTGGACCACCCGCCTGAGCTAAGGCTGCCATTCCTAAGTAATGTTATGTTCCATCCTCTCTCAGACAGCACAGGACAAAATACCTGGGTGAAGCCGTAATGCTCTTCTCATTTGCTATAAAGTACTCCGGAAGTTTCATAAATGCAAACAATAAAAGGAAACTCATAGAAATACATATTTCAATATAAAGTTTTCCTTTTAATTATTTCTGAGAATATTTCACAACTAAATACTTCAACGGAATTTGGATACATTGATTTAACTTTTAAAGTCCAGATGCTAATCTTATAAACAGGAAAGGTATGATGAATGATGTTAATACTGAACTAATGTAACTATTTAATTTAGCATGTTTTTCAGTGTTTTAAGGACAAATAATTCTCATTATATATATATTTTTCAATGAAAAATTAAATAATTGAGATTTGAGAAAACTGAAACAATTAAAAATATACTTGCGTGGAAGTTATCTATAAAAATGCAATAAAACAAACAAAAAAAGGGTCTACTTTTCTTTGTTTAAAATTACATTGTTCTGATAGTTTTGAAATGAGTGTTCATATCTCTCAGTCAAGCACAAAATCGGTTTCAGAAATGGAACTTGCAACTTGAAGCAAAGTTAGAAGTCATGTCACCAGGAGAAAGATCTGGGAACTGATGCCTTCAGGCTAATAGCAATGCTCAATTTTGGGATTAATTGATAAAATAGTTAGTCTGCACTGTTTCTTTTGAAAAAGGAAATCGTTACACTTTACATTTACCACAATCTATTATAACAATGAAAATTACAACTAAAGCAGTGCAATTTGCTGCCGCAGTTTGAAGGAAAGTTAGGTCTGTTTTTTAACGGCTGAGAATGGCACACAAGTTATATAGACACCCCCCCCCCCCCCCCCCCCCCCCCAGCATTTCAAGCATTGCAAACTCAATGATTCAAAAACTTTTAAACCTGTTACTTCATTTTCTCCAAACTCCTAATCATCTGGCCTTCATCTTCCCGGCTATACTATCCTTTTTAAAGACAGAGCTGTACATTTTTGCACCACCTCTGACATAACCTACCTGGATTCCAGGATTCTGCAGACAAGACCAAAGGTCTGGGGTCAGGCACCCTGAAATGAAGAACAAAAATCGGTGACCGACTGCGAAAAAGAATGAAGTAACTTGCCTTTTGCCCCATAGGAACGTGACGGAAACAAGGACATCTCTCTCTAGCTTCTTTAGTGATGTGATCATTTTTACTTCTGCAAACTCCTGTCTCCTTTGCTATACACTTTTTAACTTCAGCAATAAAGGGGCAACTGCTCTAAAAATAATTGTCTTCTTCAGTATCATACCTGGTTTAAAGCCAGACTAATTCCATGCTCTCCAATGGATGAGCCAGGAATATTGTAGAAAAGAAACAAAACAGATAATGTCATAAGCGGTATAAAGTAGGAGATGTCTCCTGCCTCTAGAGTGTGTGATGTTACAACCTTTAAAGTGTTGCTTTAATATAGTTTTTAATGATATAGACTATGTTCTAAAATAAATAATGAGAAAGCTATATTCAGAATAATTGAGGTGGAGTTTTGGTTTCCCATTTTAAATTCCAGAAACTTCAACATATTCCAGTTCTAGCAAAAGGGATTTTTTCTAATAAAACCAGGTTTATGATTTTTATTTTTTTTCCCCCTTACAGCTCTTAATGCCAGTTCTTTCAGCCTAACCAGAATTTAAGGGGACCTAATTCCCAGTAAATAAACTTTGTCTCTGCTGAAACTGGCAGGAATTTCATGATTCTCTTCAGTGAATAAACTCAGTGAAGACTGAGCACTTATGAAAATCCTGCTGCAATTTGGCATCTTCTTTTTTATTTAAATTGTGTAGGTGTTAGTTATTATCTACCAATGTACCACAAAGAAACAAATCCATAAAATATATATTTACTATTTCTCTACACCTGAGGTGAAGCAGCATGTATAACCTTTGGGATGAAAATTCTCACCTCAGGCCATATTTATACACCCATTATAGTTATTATTTATGCCTTTTTCTTCCTCTTTTTATATTGCTCATAACTGATGATCAAAGCAGATCAGGGACTGACTTCCATATCCCTCCCTAGATAGATCATCATTCAAACCATCCATTCATTAATTCATTCCATGCCTGTCATCAGGGGGGATGCTGTCAGTTGCAACAAATGATGGAGCAGGCTGCAAAAGCACTATATACACATTCCTATGAAAGTTAGTGGATCTTGAAGCTGCATTCACAATGAAGTTCTGTTTTCATTTATGTTTTCCATTTCATTAAACAAAGAACCACAAAATGTTCTAATCCACTATTATTATCCACTCTCCACAGTGCTCTTGATTCACTTAAAAAGTGATTATTATTCCCTGAAATATGTCATGTAAGTTAGGAGAAAGCAGCATTTCAAGGGATCAAGAAGTGCTTTTACCTAAATCTTCACACTGAATGCAAGCAGGCAGTACAAACACAAGCTTTGCAAACCACATCCTCAATGAATCTCGTGGTAGCACAACACTACAGTGGAGAGAAGCTGTGAGGAATGGGCACTGTGGTACAGCAGGCCAGTCCCAGCACTAACAGAGGGCTCACCCAAGCCTTGGTAGATGTGTTTGAGGAAGAGATGCCTGGTGTGCCACAGATACAGAGGTGTTTATGGGCTGGGATAGTGTGTAGATGCAAATACATACCCAGTGAACAGTATTTCAGTCACTGCTTACTACTTATTTCTGCAGAAGATAAGCTGATTGCTACTTTGTGCTTCCCTTTGTTTCACTCAGGAGTGTTTGTATTGTACCATTGCAGTTTCAGAAATGATGGCCCTGGGTTATCACTTAGCAATTAAATTCTCTTCCTTTGCTAGATCTTTAGAAAGCCCCTTTAAGTGATAAGTAACAATGTAAATAATTGTATTAGTAGTTACAAAGTTCTTACCTATATCAAGGTCCCATTTTAACCTCTTTCTAAAAGCTTTATAGTTCAGATATTATTTTTCTCCACTGTATTTTGCTTTAGTCTCAAACTTAAAATTGCTTGTAGAAACTCCACCTGGAGTACTGTGTCCAGCTCTGCCCCCCAACACAGAAGGGACATGGACCTGTTGAAGGAAGTCCAGTGGAGGCCGCAAAGATGATCAGAGGGCTGGAGCACCTCTCCTATGAAAACAGGCTGAGAGAGCTGGAGTTGTTCAGCCTGGAAAAGAGAAGGTGCTGGGGACATCTCCTAGCAGCCTTCCACTACCTAAAGAGGGCCTACAAGAAAGCTGGAGAGGGACATTTTGCAAGGGCATGAAGTGACAGGACAAGGGAGAGTGGCTTTAAACTGGCAGAGAGGAGATTTAGATGAGATATCAGGAACAAATTTTTCACTATGAGGGTGGTGAGGCACTGGCACAGGTTGCCCAGAGAAGCTGTGTCTTTTCAAGGCCATGTCTGCAGGGACTTGGAGCAACCTGGTCTAGTGGAAGGTGTCCCTGTCCATGGCAGAGGGGTTTGAGCTAGGTTGGCTCTAAGATCCCTTCCAACCCAAACCATTCTGTGACTCTATGAAAGTTGGTCTCTCTACCGGTTTATCCGATAATTCGAGGAGATTCGCGTGTGTCCAGCCCGCGGGGCAGGGCCCCCATCACACGACTGGAGCGGCGGGAATAGCAGAGAGCCGGTGCCTGTGAGAGAAGGAAGGGGGAGCTCTGCAGAACCCCCCAGCTGCAGTGGACATCCCTCCGCCATCTCCCCGCATCCCCTCCCTCGGGCCTCTGGGCCTGCAGGTGGCGGCTGCGGCCGGCAGAGGGCGGCATCGCACCGGCAGTCTGGCCCGGCCGCGGAGGGGAAGCGGCGGTAGCGGAGCGGGCAGGGAGAGGTGACGCGCTTCGAGTGAGAGAGCGGAGATTTGATGGGATGTGAGGAAGAGGTTCTGCACCGTGAGGGAAGTGAGGCACCGGTTACCCAGAGAAGCTGTGGCTGCCCCATCCCTGGCAGTGTTCAAGGCCAGGTTGGATGGGGTTTTAAGCAACCTGCTCTAGCGCAAGGTGTTCCTGCCCATGGTAGGGGCCTGGAACTAGATGATCTTTAAGGTCCCTTCCAGCACAAACCGTTCTGTGTTTCTATGAAAGCACCGGCTAAGTGCTCTCAGCAGGTAGGGAGCATGAATTCACAAGCAACCTCACCCACAGTTACACTTTTAACAGCATATAGTCAGTTAGGGGTAGGCACAGAGGAGTGCGTAAGATTAAAACGCATTTTGCACAAAATGAATGATAATGAAAATATAGTGAACAATCACCTTTATCTGACAAGCATCTGGAGGTGGGGCAGTTCTGTCAGAGCACATGCGCTGACTTCAGCTTTTGCAGCCAGAGCTTTTCCGGCTGGGCAAGTTACTGGGGAACCACCAGTGGATTTAGGAGAACTCTGTTCCCACCTGCGATTGCCTGCAGATGTGCTCCTCAGTTGGGTAAACTTGTGCGAGTCACCCTCTCCCCGTGTGCCAGCTCCCACACATAAAACGTGGTGAAGCCAGGAGGAAAAGTGTCTGAAAGTGCTGCGAGGTGCACAGGTGCCTGACATGGCCGTGTGTGTGGAAAACAGAGATGTTGGGTTTAATGTTGTGCTTCGTGATTACAGGGTGCTAAGGAACGTGTGTCTGTACACGTACACACACAGTATGTGAATACATTTCTCTCTCTGGGACATGTGTGTGCTTCTGTGGAAAATGTGACAATAAAATCCTGCGCAGAGATAATGACAGAAATGGGGGAGAGGAACCCCCTCTGGGACAGGAACAGTGAAATGGAACTTGTAAAGTGACCACTGACAGTGGCAGAGGATTTCTCAGGAGAAGATGAGGAAAAGTTCCCGGTAGAGCGTGTCGGTGGGAGGGTGGTTGTTTTATTTTTTGAATGTAAAACTTTTGCTTAACAAACCACCATCCCCAGTCTGGCTGTGCTCTTTGAACACAAAAGAAGAGAAATGATGATGCAGTAGCTTTTAGAATCATAGAACGGTTTGGGTTGGAAGGGACCTTAAAGATCATCTAGTTCCCTGCCTTCTTCAGAGACACCTTCCACTAGAGCAGGTTACTCCAAGCCTCATTCAACCTGGCTTTGAACACTGCCAGGGATGGGGTAGCCACAGCTTCTCTGGGCAGCCTGTGTCAGTGTCACACCACCCTCATAGTTAAGAATTTATTTGTAATACCCAATCTAAATCTCTGATTTTTCAGTTTAAGTTTCCCCTGTGTGTAAGCTGAGATGGCAAACTCCACTCCAATAGATCTGTCATGGCAACATTGCAGTGTTTTTCAGAGTCCCCACCGTTCTTGAGACCTTTGGACAGAAGTGAGGCAGAAGACTTTTCTCTCTTCAGCACACTGGCATGTTTACCATGCTGCTCCCTACAGCTGGGAAGAGCAGTGTCCCTCCTGCAAAGCCTGGATTGTTGCTCACCCTGTGTCCTGACCTGCTGGTGTGGCTTTGCTGGGTCTCATCGGTAGCCCCAACCCAGCTGCACCCACAGGCCATTTTGGTACTGTTTCCCTAGCTCGAACATAAGGACATGGAGCTGCTGGAGTAAGTCCAGAGGAGGGCCGTGAAGATGATCAGAGGGCTGTAGCACTTCTATGAAGACTGGCTGAGAGATTTGGTCTTGTTCAGCCCGGAGAAGAGAAGGCTCCAGTGAGATCTTAGAGCAGCCTTACATTACCTAAAGGGAGCCTACAAGAAATCTGGTGACTTTTTACAAGGGGTTGTAGGAACAGCCTTAAAATGACAGAGGGGAGATTTAGATTAGACAGGAAGAAATGATTTACTATGAGGGCAGTGAGGCACTGGAACAGGCCAGGTGGGACAGGGCTTTGAGCAACCTGGTCTAGTGGAAGGTGTCCCTGCGCATAGTGGAGGGGTTGGAACCAGATTGTCTTTAAGATCTCTTCCAACCCAAACCTTTCTATGACTCCATGAACTCAAGCACCACATCTACCAGGTGGCCTTTACGTACAAACTGAAGTCTCTTCATGCAGACATGAGTTTCTTCAACGACGTTTCTGTGGCTGTGCCCCTTGATTGCCAGGGGTCCGATGAAGCCCCTGAGGGCTGAGTGTTGTGATTGGCACCCGCGGGAAACGCAGCACCTCGTGCCCAGCATGTGCCCGGCACCGTGCGGAGGAGGTGGGTGCCTGCGTGTCAAGCACCGTGCCCCGGCACTCGGCTTTGCCCGGCGGCCGGAGGTCTGCGGGCCTCGCTGCTCCGGCGCCGCACTCCGCCCTGCGCGGCGGAGGAAGGAGCGCGCCCGAGGGCGCCCGTCGGCCCCGAGCCCCGCGCTGCCCGCCCCGTGCCCGCCCCGTTCCGCGCCCGCCTCCAGCCGCCGCCGGCGGGGCCGCCCCGTGCCTCGGGGCTCTCAGCGGCAGAGGGCGGGCTCGGCCGGCAGCGGCAGCGGCAGCGGCAGGGCAGGGGCAGGCGACGAGCCCCGGGCGGGCGGCGCGGGGAGCATGGCCCCGGCGGGGCGGCTGTGCGCCGCGCTGCTCTGCGGTGCGCTCAGCCTCTGCAGCCTGCGGGCCGCGCCGCGGCAGCCCGACACGCTCTACATGTGGATCGACGCCCAGCAGGCGAGGGTCCTCATCGGTAAGCGGGGCGGCCGAGAGGCGGGCGGGGGCACGGCCCTGCGGGGCTCGACGGGGCTGCCGCGCATCGCTCCCCTTTGCCTTCCGCAGGCTTCGAAGAGGACATTCTGATCGTGTCCGAGGGGAAGATGGCCCCGTTCACCCACGACTTCAGGAAAGCGCAGCAGAGGATGCCCGCCATCCCCGTCAGCATCCACTCCATGAACTTCACCTGGCAGGCAACGGGACGGGTAGGTGCGGACGCGGCGAGGGGCAGCTGTTTGTACGCAGGCAGGTGGTTTGGCTTCGGGGGAGCTGAGGAGACCCCCCTCCGAGGCGTGTGACCGTGGGGCGCCGCCGTCCTGCTTGACCCCCGTAAGCAGCGATTCAATCCGGGGCTGGAGGGGCTCCAGCAGCGAACACGGAGTAGGGAGGGCTCGGGGCAGCCGGGATCGCGGCTGAGTCCCCGAGAAAGCGTGTCTGGAGGGTGAAGAACGGGCGGGAGTGCCGGGTGCGCGCTGGGGGACCGGCCGGCCGTAGGGCGGGAGCATCGGGCAGCTCCCGAGAACAAGACACGGGTAGCCTTTACTGTTAATAACATTTCACCTGACGGCAGTTATATGAACACGGTTTTCCTTCAGCTTTCTGTAGCTTATGAACATGTGCTACAGGTTATTCACAGATCTCTACTTACCAAGTGTGCATGCTTCATTTATAGCTCTGGCAAATAGTAATTCTCTTCTGCAGACTTAATTTTGCCAAGTTTAATTGCAAAACCGTGTAAATCTGTGTCGAATCCCTTTGGGTTCGTTTGCCGAAAAGATAAGGGTGCGTGACATATTTTCGGGAAGGAACATATGCACGATTTGACACACTGACAACATATGTTAGATTTGCATAAAGCTCAAACACTTTGGAATACGTTACCGTGGATGCAGGAAAAAGAATCATTTTAAGTTAAAACTGCCGGATAGAATTAATTTATCTTTATAATGCTGAACATTGACTTTAAGGAGCTTGACAAAGATGAAACAATATTTACCTTCAAATAATCAGTGAAAATTGGTTGTATAATTCAGCTAATTGCAGCTGCACAGATTTGGTTGTGGTTTTGCTTGTCTGAAAGTACTCTAGAGGACTTGCTTGAGGTGCTGTCTGAAGCCCTTGTAATTTTTGTAGTCCTCACAAAGCCTTTGAGTTTAGGAAACACTTCATCTCCTCTTTTAGGGAGGGAGAGGAATGTGGAGAGACAAAACTTGCTTACAAAGGCTAAGAGACTTGCTCAAGGTCTTCATCATTCCAGTCCAGCTTTACAGAGAAAACAACTTTGTACGCCAAGGGTTGGTGTTTAAATACCTAGAAATAATTAGGATGTTTGGGGACTATATTTCCTGCTCCATTTCTCTGCCAGCTTCAGTTGCTGTCCATGATAAATCTACCTCTTTTTGAAAAGGAGGATTGAGATGTTAGACTTTGTCCTCACCCTCTTGTCTATCTTTTTTATGCTCCACTCTCCCTCCTTTGCTGATTTTGATCGACTTCAGTGAGAAGAATCACAGGCTTAAAGACAGCATATGCAAGTGTTCCCCTTGATGCAGCTTGAAGGATGAAATCCCTTCTAAGAAGCAGCAAAACTGTTTAACCCATTATTCCTCCTCCTCTTTGCTGAATTAATGAATTCCTGTTAGGCAAAACATAGTTAGTAAGTGAAATACCCAGATCTTTAAAGTAACATTATTACAGTACTCTGTACCTAGAACAGTGTGTCAATTTTCAAGTATTTATGGGTCAAACAAGTGTTAATATTGAGAGACTCTTCATTTGGAGACTTTATAATCCAAGCCAGCTACTTCTTACGGCTTCGTCCGTGTCCGTACAGTCAATGAAAACATTGTCATTCCAGTCTTATGGCTCTGGATATTTAGATACTTAGGCAGGCCTGTAGATGGAAGAGCAGGATTACAGCCAGCAGCCTAAGATAAGGAAGGCGTTTCAGCTGCCTAGTGTTTTAGGAGTTGGGGAAAAAAATGAGCATCCCAGAGAAAATGTCTGCTTTTTGGTATCACAAGCAGTCCTGTTGGTTTTTGCATCCCCCGTAGGTGTTTGTATACAGTTCCCTGTTACTCACAGCACTTACTTCCCCTGTGCCACTCAGCACTTTGCATGAAGAGAAGGGGCAGGAAAAAACATGAGTGTTTCTTTTGTAGCCCATAGGGCAACAACATCGTCGCCCACAGTAGTGTTGCAAAGAGAAGTAGGATAAAAGTTATTTGTGGCAAAAGGACACAGTTTCTGCAGAATTTCCAGTATTTTATGAGAGGAAGAAATGAGTAAATTTTAACAGGGTGTTTTCCGTGTTCTGGTTTGCTTTTAAGTGCACATGTGCTCAGAAGTTTCCATTGACACATCCAGGGAAATACTAAATACTTGCTACCTTTATTCTGGCAGAATACTTTTTTTGGGGGGAATTTCTTAAGTCAGGGAAGGGGAAGGAAGGGAAGAGAGGGGAGAAGGAGGGGGAAGCAACAAAAGAGGAAAGGGGAGAAGAAAGGCAAAACAAGGAAGAATGAAAAGAAATGGAAACTAGTACTCTTTGAAAGAAAGGCATTCAAGACATTGAAGTACTAGACTGCTTTCTGTAAAACAACTGTTAACTAGCATACAGTTGCCTCCTATTTGGTAAAACTGAAATAATTTCTTCCATGAGTCTTTTATCTTATGCTTTATAGACCTCTTAACTTTGTATCCCACTTGAGATTTGAAGATGTTTCTCTAGGACTCCCAGGTTTTAGGGACTATCAATCAGTAGTATATTCCACTGCCTCTAGCAGTAGCTAGACCCTTTTTGGGTACCAGGCTTTTCATCAGTAGGTACTGTCTATGTCACAACATGGTTCCTAACCCTGATATCAACAAGGCAGGGGAGTGAGAGAGTGGCTGGGTGCCAAGCAGCCAGCCAAGGTCAGCCTACCACATCTGGGATCTCCAAAAGGGTAGGGCTAAGTTTCTCCTGTCATGCACCTCACATCACTGTTTACACCTGTGGAAAGTGGGCATAACCATCCTGTGGGCAGATTGCATCTACCTGCGCTTGGGATAAATGATGATCCAAGTTGTAGGTGAGTAAATAATCCAACCCAGGGAGTGGGAATGTTTCTCAGCCCTGTACTGCTGCATATGACCATATTTTAGTTCAGAAGTGTCTGTTGAAAGGAGCATTTTAAGGACTAAACCTGCATTCTGTGTAAACCGAAGGGGTAAAAACCCACTACATTTAGGTGTCACTTTTCTAATGCCTTTTGTTACTTTTTTTAATGTGGAAAAAATGTTTTTTTCATAAACAAACAAAGCATTTTCACTAGAAAACGTTAACCAAAGAAAAGCGTTAACTGCTTTTAGCCCTTAGTCCAATATTTGTAATTAACTGTCAGGAATTATTAGGGGAGCCCCAAGATTTAAGGGTCTGAAGGTGCTGAATGCCTACTTGTGAATTCAGGATGAGCAAGGGGTTACGAGAAGGCTAGAGTACTGCAGGACAGGGTTGTTCTGGTTTTATGCACTTTGTGCTTTTACCTATGAATTTAAACACAAGATTACAGATGTTATGTTCCCTTTAGAAAAAAAAATGTGACCTGGATAAAGTAGGCAGCTACAAAGATTGCTCCTTGATTTGAAAAGTTTAAAAAATAAAAAAAACCCATAATGGTAATACATAGCATACAGTATGTATGCATGTAACCACTAGAGCTCACTGGTGCGCTTCTTGCTCTTACTCGGTATGGTTTTGCAAAAAGGAAGAATAATGACTTCTGGGGGTCTTGTCCTCTGGGGAAGATTGCAGACTTCCTAATGAGAGAGGAATACACCCTACTGTGCTAACTAATGCTGTGCGTGTTTCACTACATTCCTCAGCGGAAGGTACCAAATATTGGAATCATAGCATCATCTCTACAGTGTTTAGGAACTCGGGTATTTAAGCTGCAAATCCACAAAAAAACCCAAACAGTATGCTTAGTTTTCAGTGGGACTTCTGACAACAATAAAATTAAAGTTCACAGGTGAGTGAGTATTGGTGGAGAGAAACCATATACAAAAACCCCCAGCTGATCAGTGCACGGGAAGCAAATGCTCAGTGACAGAGCAGCAGCTGGGTTGATTTAATAGACAGGAGCTGAAAAAGGAAACCAAAAAGCAAGCTGGAATTTTTGTTCTGTAGCAGTCTCTAGTCTGATCCAATCAGTCTGGGCCACAACCTGCCCAGCCTGCTTTCTTCCTTTCATATTTGGGAGAAGTATCTGGGACCAGATGACTTACAGCTTGCTTCCTACTCCCAAGCGTCATGAGTACCCCATGGTTCCTCTCCTGTTGCACAGCTGAATGAATGCCCATGATGTGACAGCTGGATACTCAGTCCTGTGCTGGCACACAAGTGGGATGTTGGCCATGTGACTGGAGGATGCATGTATATATCTCATGGTGCATGGATATTGCATGTATGTTATGTGCTAAAGTTGTACCCAGCCTTGTGCTGCTGGGTACATGCCATTGTGTGGTATGGCAGTGGTGGTTCTGCCCTGTGATAGGAGGTGTGCATGTGTGTGAAGGGCTGGGGAAAAGTCTTTGGGGTGCTTCTGGTGACAAGAACACAAGTGCCAGGCAGTAAGGGGCATGTAGTCCTTGAGGCCCTTGAAAGAGGCAATTGGACCTGTCCCTACGGGAAAGCCTGGGTAACTTCTAACCAAAGAGTTATTGATAACCTTGACTAAAGCAAAAAGATGCCCACCTCTTAAGAAAAGGGAATATATGCCATAGGTGCATTTCCTAGCTCACTTCTATATTGTGGAGCTTTGAGGAAATCTCTGTCATTACAGCTCCTGGATGCTAGTTCTGATCTCAGCAATGTGACCATCAACCATGAATGGCTCGATTGATTCTCTGGAATTATGTTGCTGAGACATAGCCTGACCGTGAAGATAAAACGGAATATCTAGGTATGCTAGGAGAAGTTTTGTTCCGTTGCCCAGAGGAAAACTAATGGACTACTGATTTTAAGGTGTTATTGATGCAACAGGGTGCTCCATTCAAACATCACTATTTCCCTGAAAAATGGAAAAAAGCCAAAACCCAGTGAATTTCAAAACATGTCATTCTTCAAGGGAAACTTCTTTTCAATGAAACTTCTGAACTTTTTGGAAATATCTTGTTCATACCCAGTGATTACAGTGGTGCTTTTCAGCTTAAAAAATGTCTC